AGGTAAGATGTAGATCTTGATAGGTGTTTTTTGGTTGCACATAAGATCATTACTTAATTTTCATTTCATGTTCTCCATGTTATATTAAGTAGTTATTTATCTTGTATTATAAATTTAAGTTTATAATTTATTAATTTATAGGTATAATTTTTTATAATTCTACATTTCAATTTTGTAAAATTAACAGGTAAATACGTTTCAGTAACAGAGTATTGAAACTTATTAATACAATAAAATACTTCATGAAAACTAATAATTAAACAAAACTATAAAAGAGTAAAACGAAAAGGAAAAAATTAAAAATGCAGCAAAAGATGAGATTAAAGGGCCGTTTTCAAGACGCTTATCTGGTAAGCGTTTATTGGGTGTTATTTAATTACCTTACCCGAGTGAGCATGTCAATTAAAGAGCGAGAATCTTACCCAGTAAGAAGAATAGCAAGAATCAAAAATCTTACCTGGTAAATACAGAAAAAAGCTTTTATCCAGTAAAAGATCACCAAATAAAAGACGTTTACGAACACTCCATTTTGATGACTGAGAATGTTACTTGTTAACGTAAATAAGGCTGGTAACTCTTATAGATAAACATTTATCTGATAAATATTTGATAAACGACGGTTAAGAGTTTGAATTTTGATATTAAAAAGAAAAAGAAAAAGAAAAAATAAACCTGGGACAAAATTCAGTTCACAACAAAAAGCACATGTGCTCGTGCTTTGCATACGCGTGAATGAGTCACAATTTTTTGTTTGAATCGATGATACTATGAAGTGCCTTTTCATTTTATTGTTAAACATAATTTACAACGACTCTTGTGCCCACAAAATGTACAAGAATTTATTACATAAATAATGAATGATCTCGTTTTAATTACGGATATCTGGATCAATTTTTACATCTTGATTAATTTTATAGGGCTTTGAAAAGGGCTAGAGAAATCCTCAATTTTTGGAGAGACTTGGACATAATGACGGATCCAGTTAGGGCTGTGCAAAACCCGACCCAACCCGAATTACCCGAAAAACCCGACCGAAAACCCCCGATCCGAACCGATATCTATGAATCGAACCAACCCGAGGTCCGAAATCCGAAAATTATATCGGGTTAGTAGGATCAGGTATATAGGATCTCATGATCCAAAACCCGAACCCGTCCGAAACCCGAATTATTCAACTTTTATTACTAGTTTTAGATACCTTTGAATTGTCATGGTGTATGTCAATCTTTGTCTTCCATTTTGACATAAGGTTTTCATGAGAAAATATATATTTTTAAGCATTAAACCCACAAATGTCTTCTTTTTTAAAGTATAAAATATTTATACACGGCAAATACTTACGCACACTCTTTATCTTTGGCGAAAACAATGGAGAGAAAAAACCATGATAATGTGAGAAACAAAGGTATTTCATCGGCCCGAACCCGCCCGAAACCCGACCGAACCCAAATTGGCCCGGACCCGAACATCCCCCGAACCCGAACNAAAAAAGCAAAATAAAAAATTTATATTAAATTAAAATTCCTTTAAAAATAAATTAAAAGTTTCTTTAAAAATAAATTAAAATAACAATAAAATAAAACATAATAATAAAAAAACACTAAAAACCATAAAAACAATAATGACTAAACTAGTTTTAGGGGTGCCAATGGCAATTAATAGGGGTGTCATTAGCCTCCTCGATAGGAATCATTGCAATGAAAATTAATTTCAAGATAATTTTTTAAAGCTAACACTTAAGAAAGTAGTTGAGGGGTATATTTCTATGATATATTTTTAATACTCTTTTTTTCAAATGTGATGATAAAAGAGGTCATGATACATGCATTAAATATTACTAGAAATATACTTGTATAATGCATCGAAATGTATCTTGATTTTAATGTTTTGTTTTATTCTGTCTTTTTCGATGTTATAATACGATTTTTTTTATGGTACTGAAAAAAAACGATAATGTCTTTATTTTTTGAATAAAATATAAATTTAAAAAAATCATAAAATTTTGAAAAAAAAAATGTATCGATTTTAGTATCAAGTTAAATATTTAAAAATTCTTGTTTTTTTGGGTATAAATTCTTTAATTCAAATTTTTATTACAATTTAATTTAGATTTAACAATAAAGTCATTTTTTTAATAATATAATTATTTTACAAAATGTGAGAAACAAAGGTATTTCATCGGCCCGAACCCGCCCGAAACCCGACCGAACCCAAATTGGCCCGGACCCGAACATCCCCCGAACCCGAACTGCATATTACGGGGCATGATATTATAATCCGATACCCGATCGGGTTTGTCGGTTTATGGTCCGATCCAACCTGATCCGACCCGTGCTCACCCCTAGATCCAGTGCATAGGGGTAGGGGTCCTAGGCCTCCAACAAACCCATTCATTTTTTTGAAAAAAAGACCATAAAAAATTTATTTAGTAAATTTTCCTATTGTACGTCCAACAAGAACAAGGCAAGGGCTCCAACTTGATATCCTTATTGTTAATTGGTCCATTTGCAGCACGCATTAATATTTTCGTTTTAAATATAAAATATAAGAATTATACACCTCGATTCATTAGTAAAAAGTCAACTGAAAATCGACTTGAATAAGTTATCTTTATTCGGTTACTGAACCATTTAAGCCGAAAAGGAAAACCCAAAACCGTTTTCATCCAGATGAATTATTTGGTTTTAAATTTTTTTTTCTACACCCCTAAGTATTCCCCCAACTATAAAAGTTTCTGGATCCGCCACTGCTTAGATAATAACTTTCAGAGAGAAGCCCCAAAAATCCAAAACTTATAACCAGTAAACTAACCTTCCAAATTATTGAAAAAACATCTTACAGTTATATAAATCATGAGTTATTTAAATAAGAAAAAAAGATATTGCAAGTTAATGAATATATATAGTTATGTTATGAGAAAAACGTTAAATAAAAAGAAAATAAAAGAATCATAAGAAAATGGATGAAAAGCTATATAAATATAGGGGGAGTGCTAATGGCACCCCCTTAATAGGGGTGTTGATTGCTTGGAACTTGTGTATTTTTAAAACATCAAATCGATTTGATATTTA